CCCATCGCCTTAATTTTGTTGGACTACTCCTCCGTTTTGGTTTTGTGAGTTTTCGGGGCCAAACATCATATAATTGTCCACTATCGCCGCTCCTGCACTGTTCAGACCAACTCCTACACTACTCAATATTTGACCGGTTACTCTCGCTAAATGAACATATAAATCTTCTAAGCAATGGTCAAAAACAAGATGCATTACCTCCTACTTGAGCAGCGCCCACCGCGCTCGCAAGAAGATCCCCAAGGCCAAGAAACTGTGGATTCGCACTGCTAATGAGGCAAATCAGTAGCGTAGGAAGAAGGAGCATACCTGAAATTGATCGTCATAGCTGTGCAATTTGGAAGAAGTTTCAAACGCTGCGCCGTAGCTTCCAAGCACGTAATTTGTATACCGTACATGATTATACATAATCTGCTCAGGCAATATGCAAACTTTGCAGTTTCTTCAAAGTTTTCAATAGGCAGTGGCTTGGCAAAATGGACTCTGTCAGATTTTGGTATCAAATGGTAGAAAACAAAGATAGACCGTATCCCAAACTCTAGCAGCCAAGTCATGAGCTAAATCAAAACGCGCTTCCAATTCCACCATTGTGGACCAACCAGGAGTAATGAGAGATGCTGTTGGATTTCGGAGCGCGTACCAGATGTCAGCCTATAAGTTGGACGGTAGGTAGGATCTACGGTGTGTTTGAGGGTCTACTACTCAATTAAGCATAGGTCTGTTTTGACGAGCCATTGATGATTTATGATTGTCAAGCTTTGCTCTATTCAACCACGTGGGAGGAGCCTGCCATTGATGGGGGCGGGTTTTGCCTTTTTTCTTTTTTCTTTTTTTTTCCAAGGGCGGAAAAATTCGGAAAGCGTATTTTTGTACATGGCCGTGCTTCCACTACATATCAACGAATTTAGAGATTTGTGGAATGTTCGGGACAAAAATTCGATTTGTTGGCACTTAGAAATTTTCAGATTTTGACCTTGAACTCTGCGTGAATGAAACTCTATGCAAATGTCTGAATATAACATTGTAGAGCTTGTCTTCCTCTACCCAATAATATGTCAAATCTGGTAGCTTAACAAATAGACTTCAATTTATTCAGAAAAGTTTACTTCTGGGGCAACAGAAAAGAGGACAACTTCTATCATGTTCTAAGCGCTTGCAATTTTTCCCGCCTTTCTCGGGGAATATAGTCAAGCTTGGAGGAAAACGAAAGTAAGCGAGTATTAAACAAGCGGAATATTATAGGTACAATACCGCTCGTAATTTGTGAAAAAATTGGCGGCCGCCG